CTGAAGCCAGTGGAGACAAGCAAGTGCATTCAGACTGACAGCGTTGTGTGTCCTGATGATACCTTATTTTGTACTTGTAAACAACCAAACAATCCCAACGAGCCATATGCCTAGTGCAACCTCTGCCATGACTGGTTTCATCCTGTTTGTGTGGGATTCCAAAGTATTGGAGACATTGCTGCCATATCCCCATGGCACTGTCCTTCATGTACCAGAGATACCCAAAAAGCACAGTCTGGACAAAAGGACCAGGTGAAGAGAAGGTTATCCTTTGGACAAGAAATTCCATCCTGCCCCAAGGAGTTTACAGTAAGCCTAACAAGGACTGAATGGGCTGCAATTCAGCCAGCTAAAAGAAAAGGATACAGAGTCTTGAAGAAAGGCTGGACGGATCTTCTAAGCCGCAAAATAGGATGTATAAACACATTTTGCGTTCTTTCCTTTAAGTCTAACAAAGTACAATTCAGTCAAAGTCGAAAAAATAAAAGTGCATATTGGAGGGGTAAGGCTGTATGCACATTTTCTGGTTGCACAACTTACTTCCTATCTTTGGAGCAAGATCCAAATGATACTGAAGATGATATACCTGTTCATGTAAAAGTCCAGGGAAAAATTCATCACAGTTGCCATGAACAGCATAGCCGACACTGCCGCCAACCTGAGCGCCACACACTCAGAGGACAACTTGGCGAATGTTCTCCCATGTTACTCCACACAAAACAACTGGCATCCACGGATAAAGAGAAAATATTTGCAGGAAATCTTAATGATGTTAAGTCTGTCCCAGTCTTGCAAAAGATATCAAGTGAAAAAAATCTTGATAATCGTTTAGATAGTGATGCTTTCATGGAGTGTTTTAAAATTCAGCAAAAGCAGGATGTGGAAAAACCAAGCTCCAAGTTAAAACACAGTGTCATTCAATATGTTGCAATGTCTCCCTTTGTAGTTCACAGTTATTCAGAATCACAGTTGCATATTCTCAATGAACAACAGAAGACGAATGATTGTCTGTTATATATGGCTGCAACTGGCAGTGTAGTTGCAAAACCTCACCCCTCCAGCCAGTCAGTACTATATTATGCACTTTGCACACCATGCCAGTCCACAACCCAAACTGTGGTTCCAGTAGCAGAAATGCTGACATCAGACCAAACCACTGCAACAATTCTACACTGGTTGACTTGCCTGCGTCGGGATTATTACAAGCTGTTCCAGAAAGACTTGAGGCCACAAAAAATTGAAACAGATTTCAGTGATCCACACAGTTATTCAGGCATTCAACAATGTCAGCATTCAGCAGTACTTACGACTTTGTTTTCAGGTGTGCCAAGAGCAGCAGACAGTGCAAATGACTGTGATACACCTCTGTTCTGCTCACATGCTTAAGCTGATAACCATGAAACTGAGCAAGGTGCAGTGCAAACAAGAAACAAAAAATATTTTCCTGTACAGCTTTGCCCTTCTCCAAAATGCCACAGATTTTTGTGTGATCTTGTCAATTATAAAGTCCCTTGTGTTTGTGTTCTCATCAAGGAATGAGACAAAAACGTGTCAGGAACATCTGTCAACACTGCAGGCAGCCATTCAGACACAGAAGACAGACAAAATAAACATCAAAGATGCAGATGATGATGAACCAAGTCTTCACCAAGTGAAGACCTGCATAAATCAATCAGAAAGTCATCACCTTTCTTTGCTCCCATCAAAGCTGTGGTAAAGTAAACAAATGATAAAGCAAGAAAGGAAGATGAAGCAGAGGGTGCAGCACAAAAAAATAATACCCATTTCTGTGAGTCTGTGTTGGGCATTCTTTTAGACTATGCAGGTGCAGTTCCCCTTTGGTCAAAGGGCAAAACTAGAGACAGTAATGCCATACTAGAAAATTGGTTCCGCACAACAAAAAATGTGGTTCTGACATCAAAGCTGCACAGAGGAGCAGGAAATTTTCTGCAGCTCCAGCAACAGTTTGTTGAGGGAAGAATCAAAGGAATGTTACTGAAAAAGCAAGTACCACAGACGAAACAGCCTTTATCAGACAATGATGATGGAGAGGACATTGATGGTCCAGTCTCTCTTCCCCTATCGCAAGAAGAGAAATGGAAAAAGCAAAGTACGCAAAAGAGAAAATCGAAGTATTTCAACTCTCCTCCTCCAACAAAAAAGCATCTTGTCTGCAACATCTGCCAGCCAAAAACATCCAAAGACAAAGAGTCACATCAAAGGTGCACCACCCCCACAACCACAAACAAGACAGGGATGCTGTCCATATTGGGGAGGAGAAGGGTTAATTGAGAAGCAAACAGTGTCAATGACAAATACATGTACAGTGGACAACCTCCTGTACATGCTTCACATGGCTATCAAGAGGAGACCAGGGATTAGCACTGATCTAAATGCAAGCTCCAATAATTGGATTTCCACCTTACTGCAAGTCCACAAACCTTTTGAAAAGAAGGAGTGGTCCCAGGGAAAATTATTGTGGCTAAACGCCATTGGCTGATTTAAAGGGACTTCATGGGATGCTTATGGGACAGAGGAAGACATGGTTGCATGTCGTCTCGAGTATCTCATGACAACAGAAATCATGCAAAAGTGCAAGAATGCAGCTTGTCCTGTTGTGAGAAGACGAGTCAACAGTACTGACATCTTGTAAGAATTATTTAATTCTGTAAAATGAAAATCAATGCATGTTTTTCATTTCACTTGCGAGAAAGTATAATTTATTTTAAAACGACAAACATTGGTTCATATAAGTTAACAAAGATAGAGACTGGTCATATTTATGTTAATCTACATATCTTACATGTGATTTATTTGTTTATTTTCAGGTGTGAAGACTTCAGTACTTTACAGATAGATATTGACAGGTGGATGAATGCATCCCTTACAGCTCCATGCAAAAGGTAAGTATACAGTATGCAAACATACAGACCATTCTCTTGAATGCAGTTACACAGCTCTCATGCCTAGTTGTCCATTGAGTCTGACATTTTCATAGTTTTACAATATTTAATGTTTTCTAACTTTTATCTTAACAGAGGTCCTGCCCCATGCACTGACAGTGAGCAGACACTGCAGCGTGTCTTCGTGAATGGACAGCCATGTGTGTTACTGGTCTCAGTGATACACCAAGCCAATCTCAGTGACAAGCTGCATCCTACAGCCTTGCCACACCTGGTGACAATTCTCTGTGTCACACTTGTACATGTTTTTGTCACTGATTTTATTTGTTTACGTTGCTATTCTAATATAGTTTGAATTAATTTGTGAGTGGTCATCACATTTTTCTGCTATACTGTCAATACCCACAAAGGTACGAGCCAGCTGCAGTGACATACCACCTGGGCACAAAGAATCACTTTGTGGCATTCCACAAACTGGGCGCTGACGAAGGCTGGCATTTTTATGATGGCCTTGAGGAAATGCTCAACCCTGGCAAGGGTGATGTTGTCATCACTGACACATTAAGGAAAAAGAAACTTAAGGCTAAGTGTAAAGTTAGCCACATTGTCATGGTCAGGGTAAGTATGGACATTAATTATGGCATAACACTGTCTTGACTTCTAAAACTAGTTTTCCTTTGTATTTCAACAGATGACAAAAATATTCATGTCTTTCGGTTCACAAACAAGAAATTGAAATTAATCACAGTAATAACTAAACGTGTTGATCAGACTTACTTATCTTGTCTTTCACATTCAGGTGACAATCATTTATGGAGAAAATTGGTGATAGTCCTCTCACATAATCTCATCATAAAAATTCTTTTGTTTTTCTCTTGCTTTAGGACAAAGCAGCAGAAGCTGTTGAAGAAAGGCGGCAGGACAATGAACAGCTTGTTACATTCATTGTGAACCACAATGGAGCTGACGGAAAGCTGAGGGTAAGTCTAACATGTCATTACTTTCCTATATGGAGCAATTTTACTAAAAACAACTATGAAATTACAGAGAAACACCTAACGTGATCCATTCATAATGTATCAGCCTGTGATAAAATGTGATATATTAAACACCCATTAACCAATTACTAACTTCATGTGATGTGCAATTAGTTCAGTGAGGAAACAGCTGTAACTGCTTGTGGCTTGTTCGCTTCTGCCAAGAACACCATTCTCCTTACATGCACTGCACTAGACCTCAACAAAATTGTGGAATTGTGGGGCTTTGCAAATATGTTTGGAATAACGCTGTATCAGATAAAGCATATTGTCATTATTACCAAAGTAAACACTTTATACCAGCACATTCAGATACCATAGTAGTTAGGTCAGTTAGTTTTACAGTAAAGTTTCATTGCAGAGATTTAAAGGCACATATGTCCACTGTGGAAAGAAAGCCACTATTTGGGGTATTCTGTCCTCTTGCTTTCAATGGAACTGATGAAACAGGCTGAGACATGGCTATGCCTTACAGTACCGCTGTGTGTGAGCAGATAAAAATGGACAGAACATTTTTAAATATTCATGTTTAATTACTTCACTTGCTAATATTTTTCCGGCCATTCTGTCCAGTGAGGAGGAGTCCCACTTTTATTTTAAAGATAGGTGGGTCCCAATCATCTTAGATGATGATGTGCAGCTGGACAAGATCGTTAAGTACCTGTCAGACTTCCTTGACAGCTGTGACACCATCTCTCCAGAAGTCTGCACCATGGTGTCTTCTGACAGGATCAAATACATGCTTAATGTGATGCTGTCAGAGGTAGGTCGACAGCTGTTTGACTTAAATTTATGAAGTTATATACACGAATGACAGTATTCCTATTACTTGTGCATAGTACAATTAAGCGAAGCATTGGTAGTAAAGATTTTACCACAGAAGGTGTGTGCTTTTCTGTTCTATGAAGATCAAATATTTCTAATGTCAATCTTTAACCTTCTGCTTAACCGTATAGTGCAGTACATTTTCAGATAAGTTACACGAAGTGAGTTATTATTATTGTAAACACATTTTTCTATAAGAATTAATATCTCTAAGTGTGCCTTAATAATAATTTAACAAAAGTAATGATGAAATAGAAAGGGAATAGTAAAATGAGCAGAGGGAAAAAGGACAAGTGAGAGAACGACTTAAATATTTGATGTGACAGTAAGATAAAGAAAAACTTGGAGGATTTAGGGACATAGATTCAGTTATTGTACAAGACACCAACAAACTGAAAAACTAAAGGGTCGAGCAGGAAAGAGCTTTAAAAAAAAGTAGGTAAGACTCGGAAGGCAGTTCATGCAACAAAGGGTGGCTACAGCCTTAAAAAAATAAATGTATTCTGGTATGCAATGGATGTACTTATAGCACACCTCAATAATTAATAGTAAACAAATACTGAACACCTGAATTAGCTTCATTTTTGTAAAGTATGTCTGTAGGAGATACAATATACTGTGAGATAAATGATAAGCAGGACAAACTTAATATTTTTAAACTATGGACAATCGGGTAGGGTCAGTATCATGTCTGTAGGTAGGTAGTTGGTCAGGTGATGAGGAAAGGGAGGAACACAAAGAGGACAACTGGTGGCCGGGAGAACAAGAACAGGGTCTGAAATGATGGCAGATGTTAGTAAAGCCAACAAACTATTTTAATCAATCAGGTATTCATAATTGTGATAATTACTGTAATTGTATTGTTCAAATGATAAATAATAGCACTAATAGCAAAAGTGATTCTAACACAGGCAACAATAAAGGCTATGGAAGAGGTCTGCAAACTGACGGTGACGGAAGCTGTGGCAAAAGTGGACCATGGCCAGATGGAGGAAAGGTAAGTGCAAATGATGACTTTTATAGGATGTTTCCCAATTGAGCAATCGATGAAGATGTGTTTAATGTTTCTCAAGAGATAAACATTACCTTTTTACTTTTTTACTGTTTTGTAGTGAGAAAGAAGACATTTTCATGTCCATTCGAAATGAGATGGAGAGACGGGATTTGACATGAAAGAAAAGATGTTCAAAAAATGTTTGTCCCTTTATTTTCAATAAAGGTTTCACAAATCAGAGACTGTGTTTTTATGAATCTTCAGGGTCTGTACATCAATCCAGTCCAGATTTGAGAGGTCTAGGTACAGTGGGTTTTGGATCTGGACCTGGTCTAATGCGGTCTATGTGCTGAAAAAACTGTGACATGAGTCTTTATTGCATTTTCACAAATAGAATAAAGGTTTCATAAATCAGAGACTGTATTTTTATGAATCTTCACGGTCTGTACATTAATCCAGTCCAGATTTGAGAGGTCTAGGTACAGTGGTTTTTGATCTGGACCTGGTCTAATGAGGTCTTGGTGTAAAACAAAAACGGTGAAATCGCCCCTTTAGCATTTTTACAAATAAAATAAAAGTTTCACAGATACAATCGTAGGTGTCAGGCAAAGCTGATGTCTTACCTAAAATGTCTAAAATGTTTTCACATCAAGAAGTGTCACAAAAAACAGACAATCAGTGGACAAACAGTCGCACTGCACAATAAGTTAATTTCCCCTTAACTTTCCCCTTAAGTTCCGAATCGGAAGCCAACTTCAGCGTCGTACTCTCTCTCTCTCTCTCTCTCTGATTCTCTCTCAATTCAATTCAATTCAAATCAGCTTTATTGGCATGAATGTAAAACAACAATATTGCCAAAGCTACATATAAATGACATAAGAACAATTTCTTACATTTCATTAAATAAGTAAATAAAAAAGTAAAAGTTGTTTGTATGTGTTAATAGTAAGTAAAATAATAATAATAAAAAAATGAAAAAGTTAGAAAATGAAAATAATATATTAAAATAAAATAAATAAATAAAATAGTAAGCGTGTGTGTGTTAAAAAAATTAAAATATATTAAAATTAAATAAATAGATAAAACTGTAAATGTGTGTGTGTGTGTGTGTGTGTGTGTGTGTGTGTGTGCAGTTTTATGATTCTAGGCTGTTTGTTTTTCCAGAGAGTTCAGGTATGCATTTTAAGAAAATGCTGTCTTTCTCAACGCAAACACAAGAAGGCTCCATTTTATTACTGGGATCTTGTATGTGTACTTCATAATGTGTGTTGTGGGTCCCGCTGTGGAGAAATGACAGTGTCTCCCCAAAAGTTATGCAATCAACAGCGCTGCTGCAAATAATCCCCAAACGCAATAAATTTGCTTTTTATTAAGTGTTTCACATGCATGAAACAAAGTTGTGATTTATCAAACATATATTTCTTCAAAATCGCTGGTTTACTTATTCAAGTTAATATAAGATGGTGTGTAAATGGCAGTAAAAATAGTCAGGATTCAATTTCTGCACAAATTCGCTTTTCTCATGATTTATAGATTTCAGACAAATTTAGACAATTTAACTAGACTGACATCTAACAGCCATGCTGGCCCTTTGTTAAAACCAATCATTCAGTTTAGTTAAAGCCCAGCAGCATTATTCTGCAATAGTACATCTAGGCCAATCAGTGTTCATCCTAGCTCTTATTTATGAGAATGCCATTAATTAACAGCTTAATGTAGCTGCCAAGGAGTTTTATTATAGTCTTATCAGTTAATATGTGTGAATGCACCTGACATAATTACTAAGACAAAATATGACAAATCCAAACAAACTAAGAACTCTCAAATTGTTCTATTTCTAGGTTGGCTATATAGTTTTCATCTACAAGTGTGTTAAAATTGTGAATTTAACCTGAAATTTGGTGTTTACCTGTGCAAAAACATAAATTATGAAAAGTGCCTCCTGTTGACTTCTCTCAACCATTGTCTTCCTGTCACATTGAGATTTGACCTGATCAGTTGTTCAAACACTGTTGGAAAGTGTTCTTCTTTGCCACGTAAGTAATTTAAATGTAATAGTTTGCCATACAGTGGGTACGGAAAGTATTCAGACCCCTTTAAAATGTTCACTCTTTGTTTCATTGCAGCCATTTGCTAAAATCAAAAAAGTTCATTTTATTTCTCATTAATGTACACTCAGCACCCCATCTTGACAGAAAAAAACAGAAATGTAGAAATTTTTGCAAATTTATTAAAAAAGAAAAACTGAAATATCACATGGTCATAAGTATTCAGACCCTTTGCTGTGACACTCATATTTAACTCACATGCTGTCCATTTCTTCTGATCCTCCTTGAGATGGTCCTGCTCCTTCATTGGAGTCTAGCTGTGTTTAATTAAACTGATTGGACTTGATTAGGAAAGGCACACACCTGTCTATATAAGACCTTACAGCTCACAGTGCATGTCAGAGCAAATGAGAATCATGAGGTCGAAGGAACTGCCCAAGGAGCTCAGAGACAGAATTGTGGCAAGGCACAGATCTGGCCAAGGTTACAAAAGAATTTCTGCAGCACTCAAGGTTCCTAAGAGCACAGTGGCCTCCATAATCCTTAAATGGAAGAAGTTTGGGACGACCAGAACTCTTCCTAGACCTGGCCGTCCAGCCAAACTGAGCAATCGTGGGAGAAGAGCCTTGGTGAGAGAGGTAAAGAAGAACCCAAAGATCACTGTGGCTGAGCTCCAGAGATGCAGTAGGGAGATGGGAGAAAGTTCCACAAAGTCAACTATCACTGCAGCCCTCCACCAGTCGGGGCTTTATGGCAGAGTGGCCCGACGGAAGCCTCTTCTCAGTGCAAGACATATGAAAGCCCGCATAGAGTTTGCCAAAAAACACATGAAGGACTCCCAGACTATGAGAAATAAGACTCTCTGGTCTGATGAGACCAAGATTGAACTTTTTGGCGTTAATTCTAAGCGGTATGTGTGGAGAAAACCAGGCACTGCTCATCACCTGCCCAATACAATCCCAACAGTGAAACATGGTGGTGGCAGCATCAGGCTATGGGGGTGTTTTTCAGCTGCAGGAACAGGACGACTGGTTACAATTAAATGAAAGATGAATGCGGCCAAGTACAGAGATATCCTGGAAGAAAACCTCTTCCAGAGTGCTCAGGACCTCAGACTGGGCCGAAGGTTCACCTTCCAACAAAACAATGAGCCTAAGCACACAGCTAAAATAACAAAGGAGTGGCTTCGGAACAACTCTGTGACCATTCTTGACTGGCCCAGCCAGAGCCCTGACCTAAAAACCCAATTGAGCAGCTCTGGAGAGATCTGAAAATGGCTGTCCACCAACGTTCACCATCCAACCTGACAGAACTGGAGAGGATCTGCAAGGAAGAACGGCAGAGGATCCCCAAATCCAGGTGTGAAAAACTTGTTGCATCATTCCCAAGAAGACTCATGGCTGTAGTAGCTCAAAAGGGTGCTTCTACTCAATACTGAGCAAAGGGTCTGAATACTTATGACCATGTGATATTTCAGTTTTTCTTTTTTAATAAATTTGCAAAAATTTCTACATTTCTGTTTTTTTCTGTCAAGATGGGGTGCTGAGTGTACATTAATGAGAAATAAAATGAACTTTTTTGATTTTAGCAAATGGCTGCAATGAAACAGCGTTTTCAGAGTGAAAAATTTAAAGGGGTCTGAATACTTTCCGTACCCACTGTATATGCACGATGTATCTCTTGTCAGTTCATGCTCATTGGTCATTTTCAGTTCTGATATTATTGAACTTGCAAGCTCAAAAATTGTAGTAGGCCATGTGAAGTGCATGATGGTTGGCAAGTGCAATACTGTCAGAACTGAAAATGACATGAGCATGAACTGACACATTGACTATTCGTGTGAATGTTGATGGGCTGCCTCTTTCAAGGAGCTCTAATATGCAGCTGTGGCCTATTTTAGGTCAAATAGTTGAACTACCAAAAGCAAAAGTTGTGTGTGTATATGCAGGTCCCTGTAAACCTGAATCTGTGAATGACTACATGCATAATTTTATTGAAGATTTAAAAGCCATCACAACAACTGGTGTAATGTTAAGTGGGAAACAGTACAATGTCGCACTTCCAGATGCTTTTATTTGTGACACTCAAGCAAGAGCTTTTTTAAAATGTATCAAAGGTCATGCTGGCTGTAGTTCTTGTGAGCATTGCACATAGTATGGTATTTATGTTGACAGTAGAGTCGTGTTTCCAGACATGGATTCCAGCCTGAGGACAGACACTCAGTTTGAACAGATGTCTGATGAAGACCACCATCACTCTAAATCACCTCTCCAGGGGCTAGGCATTGGTATGGTTTCTGCTTTTCCTCTGGACTACATGCCTTTTGTTTGCTTTGGCGTTGTGCGTGAAGTGATTGCTCTGTGGTTTAAGGGGCCATTGCAATGTCGGGTTCCATCTTCTGTCCTTTCTGCCATCTCTGATCACTTGAAACTGTGTAGAAAAAGCCTACCCCGGAGCTTCTCCAGAAAGCCAAGATCTTTGTCCGAGTACAGCCAGTGGAAGGCTACAGAATTCAGGCAGTTCTTATTATATACAGGGCCAGTTGTGCTTTTTCAAAGATTGCCCAATCAACATTACAAAAACTTCCTGGTTTTGTCATGTGCTATGTAAATACTTCTGTCTCCTCTGTGTAGAGAGTTCTGTGGTTTTGCCAGAAAATTGTTAAGATTCTTTGTCACCAACTTTGCTAAGATATATGGGACTACATTTCTGGTTAACAATACACACAGTCTTATACATTTAGCAGATGATGCTGAAAAATATGGCCCTCTGGATTCAGTTTCATGTTTTCCTTTTGAGAATTATTTGGGAGTCCACAGGGTCCTGTGCAACAAATTGTCAGACGTGTCTATGAAAGGCGATTATTTCCTCACATGTCGAAAGACATGCCTGAAGGTGCTGAACTGAAACAGCCCCATGCATCTGGACCACTGCCAACAGATTTTTCCATGCATCAGGGTGTTCAATATAAGATGTATAAACTCAAAGACACAATCATCTCAAACTCCAGTGGTTCCAATTGTTTTGAACTGGGGGGCAGAGTTGCAATTGTGAAGAATATTGTGCATTCCACTGCAGAAACACATGTAGTGTATGAACTTTTTGAGACAGGGGCATGTTTTTTCAACTACCCCATCGATTCGACATGTCTTGGAGTTTGTTTACTATCAAAACTGTCTGGTCAGCTTGC